ATTATCAATTCCCAACTTGACTCTCACTGGGATTAAACATGTTAATAGGTCTGATCTGATTTCATCATCATTTAAAAAAAATCATCTATTATTTTTCACTTTATGTTTCTGTGTGGGAGCAAACTGTTGAAATACTTACTTAAGGTATACTAAGCTGATCTTCTGTATATTAAGATAATCGAAAATGAATCTTGATGTGAATGGAAGGGGAGAGGGAGTGGGAAAGGGGAGGGTTGTGGGTGGGAGGGACGGTATGGGGGGGAAGCCATTGTAACACATGAGTCGTACTTTGGAAATTTATATTCATTAAATAAAAGATTAAAAAAAAATAAAAAAAAATAAAAAGCCAGGAACTATAAAAAAAAAAAAAAACCAAGAAAGCACATTATTATCCCCCTTCAGAAATGAATGAATAACTGAAGCAGAGGATAAAAGCCTTGATGGAGGTTGGTCAGCTCATGTTTAGTAGAGTTGAGATTTCTACCCAGGCCTCCTTGGCTCCTGCTTAACATGGTAAGCCAATTCACAGCTTTTAACTTGGAGGATAAATTTATCAAGGGGTCTTTGGAAGGTGAAGGTTAGGTACTCTGGTCTGCATCTGACTCCTAAGTGTCCATGGTCACTGACTGAATCATCTGAGACATCATCACATCATCATTAACCCAGCCCAACCAGTGACAAAAACAGGACAACTCCTATCAAAATGGGACCAAAAAGCAAACAATACAAAATTCCAAATGGGAGAGAAATATCATAAACTTGGTTTCTCCTGACTTGGACTACTTACCAGTTAAAAAATGTCATTTGTTGCTTGGATCCGTACTCCCGACAGCCATAAGCAGCCGGTGGACACACAATGGCTCTCGTCCCTCCTGTGCCAAGGCAGATTGCTGACAGTGCCACATAAAACAGCCTGTTCCGCTCCTTTTTGGATAAATTGTTGATCACGTGGTGGCTGCCTATGTGGGAATCTTCCAGTGGGAAAGCAATGGCAGATAACAGAGCAGTGCCTGTAGATGGAGAGATAAAGGAGAATAGACACTGTTTAGCTAACACCAATTGAATCTCCAAATCTCATCCAAAATAAAGATTTTCCTCTACAAGTAACATCATTGTGACTGTACCTCAAAAAGTTCATACAAAATGGAACTTCAAAAAGTTTATTTTGAAAATTTTGAAGTACATGCATATGAGGAATCTTCAAAAAAGTTCATGAAAAATGCACATTATGAAAAAACAATACATGAATGTATATATATTAGCATCAAATAAGCTTATCTTTTAATTTTTAATGGTTTTGAAGATTTATTTATTTATTTGAAAGTCCAAGTTATAGAGATAGAGGGAGAGACAGAGAGGCAGAGAGATTTTCCATCAGCTGGTTCACTCCCCAGATGGCTGCAACAGCTGGGGCTGGGCCAGACTGAAGCCAGGAGCCAGGTGCTTCATCCAGGTCTCCCACATGAGTACAGGGGCCTATGTGAGCCATCTTCTTCTGCTTTCCCAGGTTCATTAGCAGGGATCTGGATTGAAAGTGGAGCAGTCGAGACTTGAACCAGTGTTCATATGGGATGCCAGCTTCACTGCGATGGCTTTACCCACTGTGCCACAATGGCAGCTCTTAATTGTTTTTTAAAACTTTTTTTTTTATTTGAGAGGCAGAGAGAGAGAGCACTTTCATTTGCTGGTTTACTCCTCAAATGCCCGAAATGGCTGAGGCTGGGCCAGATCAAAGCTGAGAGCTGGGAACTTATACCAGATCTCTCATGTGGGTGGCAGGAATCCAGTTACTTGAGCCATCCTGGGGTTTGCGTTGATAAGAAGCTGGAATTGGAAGCCAGAGCTGGGAATCTAACCCTGGTATTGTGATATGGGGTCTGGGCTCCTTACCTAGCATCTTGACTGCTAGGTCAAATGCTTGTTCTTATATCTTAATTTCATTTTTCCACAAACTTGTTGTAGTTCTCTGGAATGCACCTGACCTTTTAAAATATTCATGTTAATCATTGCAGTTGGGGGAATAGCCTAATTTTTTTAAGTGTAAAATTTCCTTTGGTGTATGTTTTAACTAATCCAAGGATTTTGTTTTTCCCTTAGTCCTACACTAGCTTTTCTCTGAGGATGTTTAACAGGTTATGTCCATTTTAACAAAATTCAAACAGTTCAGAAATGCACCAAACAAAATATCAAGATGTGTGTGCCCCCTTCCCTCCCTTCAGAGAAAACCACTGTTAATGAAGTTTATTTTTTCTTAATCAGTAGAGTGACAGAGCATCTCAGAAGCCTGTTAAATTCATTGAGAACATTAAATAACATTACAGTTAGTGGAGAACACAGCTTCTGTTTTCCTTTCCCAATTTTCTCTCTCCTGTTATTGCATTTCTTATATCTCTCATTTCTCATGAGGCTGGTGAGAGCCTTCTTTGCCACACATAGCTGTGAGAAGGCTGGGGAGGGAGGAGTTTGTGTTGAGAGACCAGTCCGGAGGAGGGCAATGCGTTCCTCACCTCCACTTCACAGACTGCTTTGCAACTTGCCTTGTGTAAAAGTTAACAATTTCATGCTTTTGCTAAACTCTAGATTGTGCAAAATATCTTACATGGTACATATTGTTTCATCTTGGAAAGACTTTGTGATGTCAGGGAACAGATTATCTTTCCTATTTTTTTTGTTTTTGTTTATGTTTTAAAAAAATTTTCAGTGAGGTTAAGGAACTAATTGAATATGACCTTCAGAGCAACCAGGATAAAATCTTTCCTTCTTGCTCTTCTTATCATTAAGGGATCAGATCATCAAGTGTTTTTACTTTTGTTTTGTTTTGTTTTGTTTGGAAATAGTATTTTCCTCTGTTAGATTACAACAGTAGAAATTTTTAAAGATGCATATGGCCTATCACTTAAGATGATGGTTAAAATGCCCTCTTCCCACATCAGAGTGCCTGACTTCAAGTGCTGGCTCTGCTCCTGATTCTAACTTCCTGCTAGGGAAGACCCCCAGGAGGCAACAGGGCATGGCTCAGCTAGTTGGGTCCTTGCCATCTATGTGGGAGACTCTGAATGAATTGCTGGCTACAAGTTTTGGCCTGGCCAAGCCTTGGCTATTTTAGGCTTTGGGGGAGTGAACCAGCAGATGGAAATTCTCTCTAACTCTCTGTCTCTCACATTAAAAAAAAAAAAATCGAGAATACAGGCAAACACCCAGAATGATACAAAATGTCTTTAATGTCATGATCTAGAGAGATAAACTTAACCATGTATTATACTTTCATGAATATGTGAAGGTACTTCACAGTATTTGTGGAAAATTAAGTTAAAAGATGAATTTATTTTAATGCAAACAGTTTTTGAAATCCATGCACAGCTTTTCCACATACTTTCTAGAGACCGCACAAATGTGTATATTTCAAAGTGTTTTTGCATCAAAATGAATCTATCTTTTATTACTATTTTTCAGAAACTTTTTGAAGTGATCTTGTATTTTATTTAATTAACAAATGGACATTACACTGCTGATTCTTTTTAGCATAATCAAGTAATATGTATAATTTGAAATATCTAAAATTTTTAGTTATTTGTTTATCTTTATTTATTTGAAAGTTGGATTTACACAAAAAGAGGGAGACACAAAGAGATCTTCCATATGCTGGTTCACTCTCAAGGTGGCTGCAACAGCTGCGACTGGATCAGGCTGAAGCCGGGATCCAAGAACTTCACCTGGATCTGCCACGTGGGTGGCAGGAGCCCAGTCAATTGGGTCATCTTCTGCTGCTTTCCAAGCCGTTAACTGGGGACTGGGTTGGAAGTGGAGCTGCTGGGACACTAACCGGCTCCCACATGGGATGCCAGCAGGCAGTGGCTTTACCTGCTATGCCACAATGTCGGCCATATTTATTTATTTTGAAAGGTAGAGGTATCCCATCTGTTAGGCTGCTTCCCAAACGCCCACAACATCTGGGGCTAGGCCAGGCTGAAACCACAAGCTTGGAATTCATCTGGGTCTCCTATGTAGGTGGCAGGAACCCATTCACTTGAACCCATTCACCTGCTTCCTCCCAGGGTACTTGTTAGCAGGAAGCTGAGTCAGGAGCAGAGTTGGGAATCGAAGCATATCAGGGACACTGATATGGCATGCTGTGTTCAAAGTGATTCAACCCCTGTGCCAAATGTCCACCTCTAGTTTTAAGTATATTTATATATTCTCAAGATTATTTCTAATGATCATCTGAGATTCATAATGTGTTTTACAATCCCTATTTATTGTAAATGAGTATTGCACAAATATCCTGACACATTAATTTTGCATTTATTTTTATTATTTCCTTAACCTTAGTTCTTAATCAAAGGCATTGATATTTTTATGGCTTTTTCATGCCACTGGCAAATATTCTTTAGAAATATAACAGTTTAATCTCCCACCATCATTGTGTGAGTAAATTCATTGAATTAGTTGTCATCATTAATTTTTCTGTTTTGCCAATGTAATTAGTTTAAAAATAGCTTCTCCATGTTAATTTTGTTCCCTATTTTATTAACTTGGCATTAACATTATTTGGTATTTTTCAAATATGGTTGTTCTATGTGGTTAGTTTTCTCAATTAGACTATTAAGTTCTTTATAGATAAAAACTGGATCTAATGCTTCCAGCATCCCTCTAGGGGCTTTCACAAGGTGAAGAATATGTGCACTCCATAGTTATTTGGTAACAGATTGATTTGTTATGAGCATGAGCCCTTAAATTAGTTTGTTTGAAACATTTCTTTTCAAGGTTAGCCAGATATGGAACTCTGTTTTCTCTCCACACTTTGTCTTCTCCTCTCAAAGTGTTTTGTGAAGCCTGGGTAGGCAAAGGGGTAACCACAGAGGGTGGTACAGGAACTTACTTCATGCAGCAACCATTCATTCAAGAGCAAGGCACTTTCAGTCTATGTGGTACCTTTGCATAAGTTAGAAAGGCACCTTACTTTCATCTTCAGACAAAATGTCATAATAATGCCTGTTTTGTTCGATCAAAATTGTATTTCTCTCTGCTATAAAATTGATGTCACAAAAACATAAACCTATGACATAGGTGATATAAAGTCTCCTCTTTTATGTGTGGCATTGTGTACTGCATAATCAGTGTGTCTGTATTTGGCAGCTCTGTATAAAGCGCGTCAGTGTGTCATACACTGTATAGGACATGTGGGCCCTCTAATTCTTCTCTTTAGTAGCTAATGAGTTCATCGGAGAAGTGAAACATGCAGTGGACAATGACATTGAAGTAGCAAATGCAATCATATGCTATGATCAGGGTGTTTTGAATGCAGAGAAGTTAGCAATAAACATGATATGGGACTTGAAAGAAGAAAAGGAGTTTTAATGTCTTGAATATTGGATGGGAAGATTAGGAATGGTGACAGTGTCAGGCAGAGGGAAAAGCATGTTTGAGATCAGAAAAGTTGAGAAGTAGGCAAGGAGAAATTTGGCATGGATAAGGTCATGTATTGAAAGAGAAGTCTGCAGAGGTGAATATGGAGTGAATTTGGAAAGTTCTTGCAAGCTAACTTAAAACATTTGGGCTTAATATTGTTGGGATTATAAAGCCGGTACCTAGATTTATTTTCTGAGTGTCAATGTTGATATAATGGTGTAGTCAGACTGGCAAAAAGCAGCCTAGGGAGCAGGCCTTTGTAATGGTCAGGTTGAGAAAAACTGGGCTTGAAAAGATGCTGTAACATTTATACAGAAAAGACATTTCTGTTAGAACTTCTGATATTTAGTATCTGTCTGGAATTTCATGGCAGATGTGAGCTAGGGATACAAAGAAATAACTTAGTAGGAAAATGCATGGATATGGAGTTGGCTTTGCACTTTTGTTTGCCAAATTCCAAAGTTGGGACTTTCCTTCCTGGTCTGACAACTTACCTTGGAATTTAATTTTTAAAAAAATGTATTTGAGAGGTGGGTGTTGTGGTACAGCAGGTTAAGCTGCAACTTGAGACGACAACATCCCATATCAGAGTGCTGGTTTGAGTTCTGGCTTTTCTGCTTTCAATCCAGCTTCCTGCTAATGCACTGGGAAGGCAACAGATGATGTGTTAAGCACTTGGGCCCCCTGATCCCCGTGTGGGAGACCTGGAAAGAGTTCTGGGCTCCTGGCTTCAGCCTGGCCCAGCCCTGACTGTTTCTGGAGAAATTTGGGGAGTAAAACAGAAGATGGAAGAGCTAGTGCTCACACTTGTTCTCTCTCTCTCTCTCTCTCTCTCCCTTTCCCTCTTTTTTCCTCTCTCTCTCTCTTTTCATACTCCTTTCAGTATCTGAAAATAAACATTTAAAAACATTATTTGAGAGAGAGAGAGAGAGATCCCATCCTTGTCCTGGCCACAACTGTTGCAGCTGGGCTTGGCCCGGGACCAGGACCAGGACCAGGACCAGGATAGGGAGCACAATCCAGGTCTCGCACATGATTGGCAGGAACTCAATTACTTGAGCCATCACTTGATGCCTCCCGGAGTTCACATTGGTGGGAACCAAGCCCAGGTTCTTTGATACAGGATATGGATGGATATCTGAACCATTAAGCTAAAGCTTGCTTCCTTGCCCAGGAATTTAAGACTGATAGGAATTAACATGTTAAAGAAGTTACCAAATGCTACTGATGTAGCCTCTTACTAAGTTAAGGAGAATGAATTACTGAGGTCTTTGCTTAAATGTTTTCTCATCAGAAATAATTCTCTGATACAAAATAGCAAGCCTATCACTGTTCATTCCATCCTATCCCCTTTCTCAGATTTATTTTTCATCTTAATACTTACTACCATCTGTCATAGTCTATTTACTTGTTCATATTCTCTCTTCCCTCACCACAAAGTCACCTTCAGCCAAGAACAGAGTACTTTCCTCCCTGCTGCATCCTTAAAAACTTGCAATAATCCTGGTGCTGAGTGATCAAGTGGAAATAATTGCGGAATGATGACTGAGTATTTGCCATTCAGCAACTTAGTTTTTATTTCACGGTACTTAAGCAGAGAAGTGTACAAGTTCGAATCTCACTCTAACAAATTCCCTGAACACCAGTGCCCTATAGCTGTATACTCTGTTGGGTCCCTGATATTTGTCCATTGCTTCCCCATCAGTTGCCCCCACCACAGGCATTCTAGCTGCACTTGTCATTATTGGTGGACAGCATATTACCTTGACAAGTTCTCAGCTCAGCTCTTGGAGTTAATTTTTCTTCCCCTATCATATTTATACCTTTGTTTAGTTGCCAAGTTTTTAAAAATAGTTCTCACAGGTTTTCTCCTGAACTGGCACTTCTCTATTGCTTAGGCCATCATTCTGTGATTTTTCTGGTTTCTATCTAACCTCTTTCTGTAGCTGTTCATCCTGTTTATTGAAGAAAAGCATTTCTCAAATATTATTTCCATCATATCTTCCGAGATTTCTTGTACAAGAAGAATAATTTGAACTTTGCAGTTTAAAATTCTAGCCTATTGCAGATCAAACTATCTTGATATTCTCCCCAGCATTATTCACTCCCAATCACCTCACTCCCAACTTTTGCAGGTATATTTATTTTTCTGTATATAAAGTAGCATACTGTAGTGTATGGACTCACTTATTTTTTAAAGCATATAGATATAGAAGTCATTCTCTAATATGCAATCTTAATTACTATATGATTAATTAGACTACCTTTTCTGAATAATTCTACATGAACTTTGAAAATGTTTTTAGCACATTTTATCTTAGTTGTGAAACAAATGGATTTTGTTTTGCATAGAGTTTACTGTAAATATGGGCTTGGAAGAGAAAGGGGGTACAGAGGGCAGAGGAGTACAGAGGACAGACATGTAAGCAAATAGGTATTGTAGAACATAGTAAGTGCAGTGACACAGGTCTCAAAAATTCCCTAAAACATACATATTTACTAACATATTTCAAGTAATAGGAGATCAAAATAAATTTAAGCAGCATTCTTACTTCATTGATCACATTTTATGCTAAGATCAAAATGGGAATAACAGAAATAAAAATATTAAGGCAAAAATATTCAATTAAGTTGCAAAACAATCCAACCAGTAAAGCACGCTTACCTAGAAAATGTAGAAATAGGCAAATATACACCAGCTTGTGTCTTCCCAAAGAGACATCAGCAAGCCATCCAGCCAGCACTGGGGTGAGTATGGAAGTTCCAATGAAACACAAGTTCAGTATGGCTGCCTGGTAATTGTGATAGCCAAGCTTGACAGTGCAAAATGGGACCATGTTGCAGACAATTTCAAAGAAAGTAAACGTCTCACACAGGTCCACCAAAAGCAAGCAAACCCAAACCTGAATTTTTTTCACAGAGTGTGATGAAGAGAAACAACCTATATGTCTTACAGTTGTCTCCTTTTCAATGCTGTGATTGAAGAATATTTTCTCATCGATTATTGTAAAGTCTGTATTAGACATGACTACCTTCCTTGGGAATAACTTGTGTTAGTAGTTAGAACTTGACGGTTTTTACCCCTGCCCCTCTAATGAAAAAATAAGTAAGACTGTTGCTTTGAATGTCACATCTCCATGCTAAAACTTTGTAAGGTCTTTTGCAGATTGATGTTGTTCATTCTGATGATCCAGGAGCACAGGAGAGAAGATACAGGTTATTTGGACATTCATGGTAGCTCAATGTAGCCAAATCTGATTTGTTTGTTTAATTACTTAGAGACTAAATTAGGCTATTCCTCCAAAATTATATTGAATTACATGAATCCAGTTGCATATGTGTGGAAACTCATCTGCCTCATGCTGATAAAATTTTAAATACTGAGACAGAAGATGCAGTTTTTCAGTAGAATTTGAGCATTAGATCAAGAAATAATTTGAGTCTAATAATTTCTGATATTTTAATTAAACAAGCCAGAACACTGCCAAGAGATAAAGCGCAAAGGAAATCTGTTTTGAGAGGGCAGAGTACCTTATCATTATTACATTTCTTGTTATTTTTGGTTGGGATTCTGATAAGAAAGTTAATTAGGTAACAAAAGTGCTAGTACATTTAGGTAACAAGCAGAGTTTACAAGAAAGTAATTTAAGTGCACTAATGAAAGGAGAAAATATTAAGCAAAACCTTGCTTCCTTTAAGTTGACCCTATGCTTGTAGAACAGTCTCTCAGAGGAAATCAGAATCAAAAGGCACTATTTGACTCCCTTATTATTAATCAGCAGTCAGGGATACAGCAATCAGCCTACACATGCTTCAGGGAATATTGAATCTGGTATCACCCTGACCCTCCAGCTGGGTGAATGTATGTTAGCATTTTATTTTGGAAGCAAGGGGGTACCAATTAAGCTAAGAAGCAGCAGCAGCAAAAGAGAACACTTTAACATTTGGGAGTTTAGTTGCAAGGACATAGGAAGGAGAGGGAATGGAACTGTTGAGCCAAAGTCATAATGATCCAACACATGACTATGGGGATGTTATATTCTCTTATTGTGTCTGATTCTCATCGTTTGTCCCTGGAGATTGGTAGCAGAACACCATCTTTGATCACTTCTTATAGCATCACTACAAGGTTAACGAGACTGTCTTTTTTCTTGGGTAGAATGATCATGCAATTGATTTTTGAAAATTGGATACTTTTGTGAGTAAAGTGATGCTATTTATAGTTACTTCTGAAAAACCACTATAATCCAGGATTATCCAGGACAAACTCCAACGTGTGGTCACCCTACCTTTGTGGAATGATTCCCATCTAAACAAGCATATGATGGGGCTGTCAACCTAGGTATTCCTTTTCTTCTGGACAGAGGGGCCAATACATGGCTTGGGAAAGTTCTTTTATTTTTCTTCTCTGGAGTTTTAATCTCTAGTGGAATGACTCAAGAGTGGACATGGTGGAAGCTGAGTCATTGCTCAAAAAGGATTGGTCATGAGACCTTGGTGGAGAACTCAGCACCCTGGTTCTTACTCTGTTGGAGGCAGGACTACTTGGTCCTTCTGCAAAAGACTCATATGATTCTAATCTATTTTTGTTTGGTCACATTTGGTTTCCTTAACTTCCAAAAAACCCTAACTGATACCTTGCTGTTTTTCTTGCCCCAGATGCAATGGAAAGTATTTGCTAGCCTCTGCTAACATAAGTAGCCACTGACAAAGTGTTTCTGCAGTGTCATTTCCTGAGGACCTGATGAAGATCTTGTTTGAATTCTTTAACCCCTCTGTATTCTTTTTCCTCGTGGAGGCCACAGGTGGTAGGACCTGTGGTTTGGAGGTAGTTGAGTTGGTGACAATAACAGCGTTTGTTTTCTTTGAAGGAGCTATTTTTAACTCTTCAAAAGAGTCACCTAATCAAAAATAAAATTTGTTTGAGTTATCTGAGTGGGAGGGGCAGTATTTTAGTAAAGATAAAATAATTAGCAAAAAGGGCATTCATTGAATTGAGAGTAGGAGAACTACATACTCTTGACCCTGTACTACTTATAGAAAATTCTTTTTTGTCTATAAGCCTATTAATTACATGAGCTGCAAATAATACAATACAGTGTAACTGACTTCAGAAGGTCACTTCTGAAGCTTGATTTAGAAAAGGACTGATAAAATGTCAAGGATCTTACAGGGGAATGCCTTTGTTATTACTTGCTCCTATGTTCCTTTGTTTAAAGAAGTCTTGAGAGAGAGGGAGGGAGGGAGGGAGGGAGAGAGAGAAGCTAACTGCCCCTCAATAGCTGGGGCTGGGCCAGGGCCAAAGCCAGGAGTAGAGAAATCAATTCAAATGTCTCCTGTGGGCAACAGGGACCCAATTACTTGAGCCATCACCTGCTATTTCCCAGGGTCTACATCAGCAGGAAGCTGGAATCAGGAGCAGGCTTCAGGAATCGAATGCAGGTACTTTTATTTGTGATGTGGGCATTTTAACCAATGTCTTAACTGCTGGGCTAAACACCCACCCCCTATTCCTGTATTTTCTAGCTGCTATAACCAAAGAGCCAAAGAGAAATGTCAGGGAACTATCTCCAAGTTCCAGTTTGCACAAAAAATGGAAGCAAGGAGCGACAGATCCTACTGAATAGAGTTGAAGCAATCGAAAAACATCTCCTTATTTGCCATTTCCCACTGCCTGTGAAGCTGGCATCCATATCAGAGTGCTGGTTCAAGTCCTGGCTATTCTACTTCCACACTAGCTCTCTACTAATACACCTGGGAAAGCAGCAGAAGATGGCCCAAGTACTTGGGCCCCTGACATGCATGTGAAAAAGCAGCTAGATGGAGTTCCCTGCTCCTGACTTCAGCTTGGTTCAGCCCTGGCTGTTGAAGCCTTTTGGGGAGTGAACGAACAGAAGGAAGATACATACACAAACACACACATACACACACACACATACACACATACATACACACAGTGAAAGCGGGGGAGAAGGAAGAGAGAGAAGAGTTCCTATCCACTAGTTCCCTCCCTCTGCCCAGGCCAAAATCAGGAGCTAGAAACTAAATCCAGGTCTCCTACTTTGGTGGCAGGAACTCAATCACTTAAGCCTTCACTGCTGCCTCTTAGAGTCTACATTACCAGGAAGCTGGAGTTAGGAGTCAGAGCCAGGAATTGAACTCAGATACCCTAATGCAGGACATCTGTATGTTAACTAGCATCCTAACCATTTGGCTAAACAGCACACTTTTACATTTTTATTTGTATTTTCAGAATAACTTTTCATAGGTCCTCTAAACCTCTATTTTTAGGGAAAACCTTTTCTAGACCAATAATTCTCTGTAAATGGTATACAAAAAGGTCAGTTGAGGATATTTATTCTTTTAGGCCTATTGATTCCACTTAATTCCATTGACTATAAATTTGGCAGCTGACTTGAAAGCATTGACAAGAACTTAGGGATTGGTTTCATGATAGTCTAACTATTTAAAATTGTACATCAAACACTTGTCTTAGTGATTTTTTTCTTTTTGCTGTATTGTACAAGATGTAAAGCAAAAATGGAAAGGTGCATATTGGGTCTTATGTGAAAATGAAATGCTTATGTAATTCCCTATATTCCATTTTAAAGAGGCCCCAGAAGTTGTATGGCACCTGTACCCTGATCCTTTTATCCAGTGTGAAGCAGATTTACTTTATCCTCCAGCAGGTTATAGTTCATACAGTCCCAAGAACATAGGAGGTAACCAACCCTTCTTCAAAATAGTATGTTTTTGTCTTTTCCTAGGGATAACTAAGAACGAAGGCTACTGTACTCCAATAAAGTTTCTCTTTTGCACTGTGCAATGAACCTTTCTATTTTGTTGAATCTCACATAGATGACTTACCTATGTAAAGTAAGGTGGGAATGAGTTAATTGTCACACAGGCCCTGTGATGGTTAATTCTATGTGTCATATTGGATGGGCAATATTGCCCACGGATTTGGTCAAATGACATTCCAGTTGTTGCTGCAAGGGTGTTGTATGGATGGGACATTTTTTAAAAATTTTTATTTAAGGAATACAAACTTCATGCATTTCATACATACAAATTTAGAAACATAGTGCTTCTTCCCACTCTACCCTCCCTCTCACCTGTACTCCCACCATTCTTCCTCCTCCTGCTTCTATTCCTATTCTTATTTTTCACAAAGATCTATTGGGGAGGGGTCAGAGTCTGTCAGTTATGAATTTATTTATCTTTGAAGTCATCTTATGAGAAAGATGCTCTTTATGAGCCCCTCTTTACTGTTACAAAAAATTGAGGTACAGAATGTAAATAAATTATTTTGGATCATTAATAAGTAACAGAGCCAAACTTAGGTGGCCTGATGCCAGCCTGAGCTGGCTCTTAACGGGTGATTTTCTTTACAGAATAAAAAAAGTTGGAAAGATCCCGCATAAACAACCGCTTTTTCTCTACAGGATTCTGCATTATCTAATATACAAACTGCTTGTCAGCCAATATAATTTCAATTTCCAAGATATCGGGAAGCATTCTTCTATTTAATCTTCTCTAAACCTCCAGAGATTTTTTTTAAAAAAATCTGAAATTTGAAAAACTCTGAAATTTGCTCCATTTACTCCTCTACTTAAAGTCTGTGAGCAGTTCTTTGGGCTATTGGATCAAGTTGAAAATTCTTGGCTGGTGCATCAGGCCCTTTATGACAGGGCACCCAGGTCTTGATTAGAGTCTTCCTTTGGCGTGTGCAGGATAACTGGCCCACAACTCGGCAACTGTGCATGATCATTTAACTGTTTGTGTTCTTTCGCAAGCTATTTCTTCTGCATGGGACATTTTCATTGGCCATTTACTGTGGGAGCATCTCTTCATTCTTTAAACTTTTGAGTATCACATCCTCAAGAAAAGTGCCTCTGATCCTCCAGGATAGAATCTTCTCTATGCTTTTAAAACACCATGTCCATCACTCTTCTATTTAACTTTCTTATATAAAAAACATTTGTTTATTTATTTGAAAGGCAGAGTGATAGAGGTAAGGGGGATAGACAAAGAGAAAGAAAGCTTCCATCCACTGGTTCATTCTCCAAATAGCCCCAATAGCCTGGGATGAACCAGGCCAAATCCAGGAGCCAGGAACTCTATCTGGGTTTACAATATGGATTGCAGGAGCCCATGCACTTGAGTTTTCTCCCAGGTGCATTAGCAGGGGGCTGGATAGGAATCAGAGCAGCTGGGACACAAACTGGCACACTGATATGGGATGCAGGCATTGCTGGTAGTGGCTTAAGCCCACTGCACCACAACACTGGCCCCTCATCTCTCTTTTAATGAATAGCATTTTATATCAGTTTCTTTACATGCCCATTTTCTTTAATAATCATAAATTTTTTGAGAGTAGGAGGAATTTCATACTTTATTCCACCACCCTCCCCGCTGCACACACACTCTGCATGGCACGGTGCCTGAAGATTAGTTGTTTCAGTACAAGTCTAGTGACTAATAGTGGCAGTGCTATGTGACATACTCAGACATAAACAACCTTCATCCACTCAGAGTTCTGCAAGAAAAGTGCTTATTAAAGTTTTTCCACTCTGCTACCTGGATCTCACTCCAATAATGGTAAAATTCACTTGTTGAATGAATATGAAAACATTTTGAATGCATAAATGACTGATTCACTTCCTGAATGAATAAATGAAGTAAAGGTTTAGGTTTAGACACTGTAAGGATGTCAAGAAGGAGGTGAAAGCGTGACTATGAGGCAAGTGGGCTGTAGTTAATTAACAAATATTTATTGAGTGCCCAGTAAAAGCCAGGCACTGGGGCTTCATGATAGAAACTTTGACTTATGGAAGCTTACAATCTAGTAGTGGATACCAGCAATTAAACAAGAACCACAGTGCAGTGAGGAAGAAGAGAGTTTCATAGAGGCATGTAGCAGGGTGTGTATCCCCACCAAAGAGAGGTTTCTATGGAGTCATACCTATGCTTGGGTTTAAAGGAGAGACAAAATGCAAGAAACTCCACAAAAACAAAACAAACAACCCACTTAAGAGATGGGCCAAGGACCTCAATAGACATTTTGCAAAAGAGGAAATCCAAATGGCCAACAGGCACATGAAAAAATGTTCAAGATCACTAGCAATCAGGGAAATGCAAATCAAAACCACAATGAGGTTTCACCTCACCCGGGTTAGAATGGCTCACATTCAGAAATCTACCAACAACAGATGCTGGAGAGGATGTGGGGAAAAAGGGACACTAACCCACTGTTGGTGGGAATGCAAATTGGTTAAGCCACTATGGAAGTCAGTCTGGAGATTCCTCAGAAACCTGAAGATAACCCTACCATTCAACCCAGCCATCCCACTCCTTGGAATTTACCCAAAGGAAATTAAATTGGCAAACAAACATGCTGTCTGCACCTTAATGTTTATAGCAGCTCAATTCACAATAGCTAAGACCTGGAACCAACCCAAATGCCCATCAACAGTAGACTGGATAAAGAAATTATGGGACATGTACTCTATAGAATACTATACAGCAGTCAAAAACAATGAAACCCGGTCATTTTCAACAAGATGGAGGAATTTGGAAAACATCATGCTGAGTGGATTGAGCCAGTCCCAGAGGGACAAATATCACATGTTCTCACTGATCGGCGACTACTAACTGAGCACCAAAGGGGAAACTTGTTGAAGTGAAATGGACACTATGAGAAACAGTGACTTAATCAGCCCTTGTCCTGACTGTTGGTGTACAATGTAATACTTTATCCATTTTAGTATTTTTTTTGTTCTAGTACTATTGGTTGAACTCTGTAATTAACACACAATTATTCTTAGGTGTTTAAATTTTAACTGAAAAGTGATCCCTGTTAGGAATTTGGAAAACATTATGCTGAGTGAAATAAGCCAATCCCAAAG